ATATTTGAAGTTAAACTTCTTACTAACAGCTATTAAATTGAAGGATTTGAGGCATGTATATTTTTTTCATGAATACGTTTTGTAAACTTCAAAAAAATTAGAGTTAATAAAAAACCGTATACTATTCTAGCTTTATAATTTTATGTTTTTTTTTTAAATTTTTATTAAAAAACGATAATTCTATCACTCGGCCGGATAGCCTGGCAGCTGTGGCCATTAAACCAAAATACTACTACATCTATATCTCTGACTACTACTAACTGCTACTAACCAACAATTTGTTTTGTGTGGTCTGTTTTTGTTTAAATACCTATTTTGTTCATTATTCGTGTTGGGGACCTGTTATAGTGCGTCCAGACCTGAGGAGTCGAGTGCGACCGAGCGCGAGACATTCCAAATTCGCTAAGTGTGGACGGGTCTCGCAAGAGCCTCGCGAGACAACCCACGGAGCCTCGTTGCTATCCGTCCCCTGCATAGACTTAAAATAAAATATAGACTACACTATTTACATCTCAACGCGGACAGACAATATTTTTTGTACACATGTTTACTTCTGGGTACAGTCGACCGAGCCTTCCTCATCCAGCCTATGTTGTCACGTCTTTAATATTATCAATATTTTTTTTCTTGTTATACACATATATTGAGATATTAATACTACAGTTTAATAAAGTAGGTTTTAATATTCCAGAGATGTATTAAATAGTCCTTATACTACTAAATTATAAGTCGGATACTGTTTAAAAAGGATAAGTTCTTTACAATATGACAACACCGATTAGAGGCGAGGGAGCCTATTCATTCATTTATTACCTTGTAGTACGTGTCGCACGTGTGCGGTAAAGCTTTGTTGCCGCTATCTCCCCGGCTGTATTAACGCATTTTCTTAGCTTGTAGTGCTTAAGTGTTTATTTTATTGACTTTTTCTGTTCAAGAACTATAAAATATGGTTCGCCAGTGCCAAATTTGCAAGAAATTTGACTTAAATAATCCATTTAAGTCTTGAAACGACTTTTGACCGGTAGGCAACTCTCAATTTACCCATTGGGAGTCAGTGGCGTTGTTGTAGAAAGGCGCTTATTTAGATAATATTTTAGTAAAATGTAAAATCTGAATTTTTTCTCTTACATTACATTATTTACTTACTTACATTGTAACAAAATCATAATTATAACCCTGTTAATAATTAATAATGTTTTTATTAAAAATATATTCCGGTTTATTCTAAAATTATCTTCAGAATCTAAAATAACATACAAGAATTTTAAAATGATATTACATTATGAAACAATATTTTTTAATATACCGGGTCGTCTCAAAAGTGGCTACCCTATAACTTTTATTTTTCAGATAAAAATAACAGATTTGTAAGGGGTGACTCATTAGCATATTTGGAAAAAGCATTTTTTATGAATATATTGATACCACACACTTGGTATTTCGAGTCAAATTGTCGTTATGAACCGCGTGTTACAATTACAATTAAACCATATGCGAAAATGTCAAAAGTTGACATATGATATGTCATTCTATTCAGAGTGTCATTTTCTATCGAATAAAGTAGAAATATACCGAGGGTGCCGTTTAAAAATTAAAAGTTATAGTCATTTCCGGTGAAACAGGAAGTGACCGAAAACAATTGAATGCGTCAAACAATCCTAATTTATGTCATATACTAACATACTAAATCTTGTTTTTTTATTTGAAAATATAAAAAAAATTATGGGGATGAGCCACTTTTGGGACGCACCCGGTATAATAAAGACAGTACCGAGTTAAATAAATGTAGTTTTCATTTTATCCACTTCCTATCACCTTCCTTGCTTTAATGGAACAGATTTATGTTTTCTCTAATTTACATAAGACATCACTTAACCAGAAAAATAATTACAACAATCATATTTTTTTTTCTCTCCCTGTCGCCGATTCTATTATATCTGTGGAATAGATCCTGTTTTCATTAATATTAGGGGTTGTAAATGTTTGACTAAAATTAATAATTTATTATTAATTTCAAAAATTACGTAATTTCGATTATAAAATTTCTTCTATAACGTGTATTTTATTATTTTTATCCCTTTTGGACTCTAAGACGTTTTTTCTAAACTTTTATTTAAAAAAACCTGTCCTAAATCTTAATAAAATATAAAAAAGTTTAAATACGATATATTTTTAATTTAATTATAGCTTCATTAAAATAAAAAAATTACCCGGCTATGATACGGAGAGTTCAGGTGTACTTGAGAAACGAAAGAAGTGTTGTGTTTCTCGGCAGAGTCGTCAGGGAACGACCGTTACGACAGAGACAACCTATCTATCGCTCGTGTCGCACTCGTTATAACCTAAAACAATAACACAACAATAACAAGACAGTGTCTGACCGCATGTTCCAGCTATTTATGAATGAGATGCTCAGTCTATATTTTATTTTAAGTCTATGGTCCCCTGTCGGTTCTTCAACGACCGAGAGAGAGATCAAAAAAGCTCGCGGCCAAGTCTGGACGTGTTTTTGGTAGGCTCGCTCGACTGCGAAATATTAGCTCTGATATTAGATATTAGTTCATATTATATTGAAATGGAGACTTGGACGGAAGAAGATCAGCTGAAATTAATCGATTTATATAAAGCAAAACCAATATTATGGAATCCAAAAGATAAAGAATATTTACACAATCGATTAATAAAACCTGGGAAGAATGTAAAAAAAATATTTCTCCACTGACAACATACAGAAATGGAACATACAGGATTATTATAGGAAGGAAGTTTAATTATTATTGAATTTTGTTACCTAGTAAATTAAATACACAGGGTGAGTAAAGTTCATTATTTTATTTGTTTTCAGAATTACTAAAAAGTGTTTTAGAATTATTAAAAAAATAGAAAAACTGTAGAGAAGGTTAAGGTACACATTTTAAAATTATTATAGAGTATACAGGGTGGTTCAGAATAGTGTTACGGATATAACATGTTTTTAGACGACCATACCAATAGGTATGGTAGGCTATTGGGATCGGCAAAAAAAAAGTTTTTTTAATTTCACTCAAAATGAGTTACTTGGGTCATAAATGACCTAAATACAAAATATTTTCATGGTGTCTGTCTGTCTGTCTGTCTGTCCATCTGTCCGTCTGTAACACGATAACTCAAAAACCGCAGAACCGATTTTAACCAAATTTGGCACAAAAATACTGCGGCACCCGAGAATCTGGCCATTAGTTTTTGGTGGGGATGGGAGGTTGGTAAGGGGGTATGGGAGGGGTTAAAAATTTAAAAATCGTAACTCCAAAATTACAGTAGCTAGCGAAACGCGGTTTTCAAATTAAGATTAGGAATAATATTTGCAACAAAATTTGTAATAACATCAAAATCAGTCAAAGTCGCAGTTTTCGAGATATTAACATATTTTAGTATTGGCGGCTATACGTGCCTCCCGGCGCCAATTTTACAAATGTAATATCCTATTTTTTATTTTATTTTTAGATTCTGCGTAAAATTTTATAACTTTTTTATGTATAATGCGAGGTATAATGTTATACATCTAAAATGGTATACCCCTAAAACTAATATTTTTTTGTAATATTTCAATTTGATTAAACAAAAAAGTTAAATTTCAGTGTCGTAAAAAATTGTCAGTCATGCTATTGTTTCTGAAGTTGGAGTTCTACAAATTTGTTAGGATAATTTTTATAGGGTCGAAGAAAAGATATATATAAAGATATTTGAGTTACATGCTACAGTGTGTTCAACATATATTTATGAATTTCGACTATTTAAAATTAAATAATCTCATTATTTTTTTAAATGGAACACCGTTTGTATTATAATTTTCTTTAATGCATCACTGACACTTTTACCGTAGGCAACTGGTAAATGACGTGTGACGATAAATTAATAAAATAATAATGAACGTATTAAGTTAAATATTTATATATTAATTTAACATATCTATTTCATGTTTATAAATTACATAATTTTTAATTTTATATATTCATAATGAAATGAAATATATTTCGATATAACGTTTGGCAACCACGCAACTGAAGTGCAAGCGACATCTGTGCAAGAGAAGCAACCAAACCAAACCAAAAATGTTAGAAAAGAAATCTAAAAATTTCAGATTATTCAAATGTCACTCCAATATTTTTCCAAATTGGAGTGAAATTGAGGTGACAATTTTTAACACGTAAGGAGCCATCTAGATTATGTGTCATCTGTGGTAAAAGGGAAAAAAATCGATGATGAATAAAATACGACAAACCAAATATCATGTTGAAGATACAAAAAATTATTACTTATGCGTTATTATTTGCTGCAGACCAAACCAATATAGTCTGCACTTTATACCTGCTAAGCATTCGGACTTCATTTGTAGTTTTATAATTAGGTACTTGGATCAAGGCCTTGCTATGTTTATGCTCCTGTCTATTTCTTCTAAATAAAAGTATCAGCAATCAATAAATAAACTACACTCTTGATACAATACGGTTTTTTTTTTGTAATGTAGTATCTACTATTTTCTACACATAAATTCAGACTCTCTACGTCTGGTAATTATCACTTTATTCTTATACTAACAACGAACAACAGAAACGGAAATTCCAGACTATGTATAACTCACTTTGAGAAAATTGTAGTTATTTCTCTGATATCATGCTCAAGCTGGCTTTTTTAAGAAACGCCTTTGGAATATAAAAGAAAACAGCATGTTTAGCATGGAAATTTGTCTTGTGTATCGCTACATCCGAAGAGAATATATGAAACAAAGATTTAGGGCAAAAATATGGGAAGAATATCGACAGATAATATTAGAAATAAGAAAGGAATAATATATAGATATCAAGACGCTCTATTTCAGGGACATATGTCATAAGATGTCTAGAAAACTCGAATTCAAAATTTAACATGCTTGTTAGAAAATGTGTTTCCTTTTATTGTAGCTTGAATCGGAAGATTTGTATACAGAAAACTAATTCAATGTTTCTATATTTTTGTTACAGAGTGAATGAAGTAATCAATCCATTTGAGAACAAACCACATGGATTATCAACCATCTGCGCAATATAGGCTGCTGTTACACTATTATTTTATTTAAAGTGTTTCCAGGAGTACTAAATTATTGTTTTTGGATCGTTTTTGTAAAACAAACAGTGATTGTTACGGTTGTGTCAATGTCAAGGAAGATATTTTTGGAGGAATGATTGCATACAATCATGCAGGTGAGTTGTTTTATGTTATGTGTATTTTTAACAATTTAGATTATTAAAAACAATACATTAGTTATTAAACAATTTGAGTAAAAGTATCAATCATACTTCAGATATTAATTGAGCTTTTCAAATAGTTGTTTAATACTTTTTTAGTTTGTTTTACAATTACCAGCAATATCGCTATCTTAATTTTCTAGTCTTACATTTTACTTTGTTCTTCCTCATTATAATATTTCATTTCATTTCAAACAAAGCACCCTACCAACTATTAATTTCCGTAAAATTGTAATCAAAATTTTCTGATTTAATCTAATTTAAATAAAATAAAAATGCTTTTTAAACTAGGTTGATTAATTTTAAAAATTTAAATAATACATTTTTTACCTTACTAATGAAAATAAATGTGAGACATAAGTTTGAATGAAAAAACTAGCTACGCCACTGGGTTGTACGTGAAAAGCTGCAAAATGCTGAGAAAATATAGAATGTTCCGGACACGAAAAAGTAAGTAAGTCTACTTATAAACGAGAAATACCATAAAACACAGGAAAATGGGACACCCTGTACAGATGTGATGCGCAGTAGTGAACGTAACGGATACCGGCAGCCAGACGGCCCGGCACTTTTCAGCAGAGAATAGCAAATTATACCTACCTTAACCTTTTTTTTCCACAACAAGGTCCAGCAGGTCCTCCGCCGGAAACACTGCGACCTGTAAGGCCTATTGTGTTTGTCCCCTTTCTATATCTGCACCCATTCTTCTATCTCTGTGCCCTGCACTAACTTATGCAGGTCCTTGATAGGATGGGAGCATAGTTTCTCCGGTTCTAGCCTAGCTTTCCCAAATAAAAAGTGTCGCTTGCGATCCAGAGCCTCGCAGTGACATATTATGTGCTCCGCTGTTTCAGGATCTTTATCGCAGAGTCTGCAGCAAAGACTTCCTGGATACAGGTTGAGCTTGTTCAGGTAACACTTGACAGCCATGTGTCCTGTCAAGAGGCCTGTTGTAATCCGCACTTTATTCCTGCTAAGCATTAGCAGTTCTTTTGCGGTTTTAGAGCTAGGGCTTTGGATAAAAGCCTTGCTGTGGTCTGTGCCACTGTCTGTTTCTCCAGTGGACATTCTGCTTTTCTCTGATCCAGAGTTTTAGAGCACTACGTGCCATACATTTGGGTATTCCCAGTACTGACTCTGGACCAAGATAGGATGCCGATGATCCTTGCCTACCCAGCTCATCGGCATTTTCGTTGCCTTGAATGCCGCTGTGGCCCGGCACCCAGAATAATTTAATTCTGTTCCTTCGAGCCAGAGCTCCAAGTTCACCTAGGTAGACCAATCTCGACGATACCTTTGGGCTCATAAGCGCCCCAAGTGCCGCCTGACTGTCTGAGCATATATTGATGAGCTTACCTGAATAAGCCCTTCTATGGTTTTCTCTCGCACATTGTAGAATGACAAAGATTTCTGCCCGGAATACGGTTGAGTGTTTAACCAAGGAAAAGGATAAACTTACCCTTGGTCTTTCCCCAAATACTCCAGCTCCTGTTCCTTCAGCGGTCTTTGACCCGTCTGTATACCAGGTTAGTCCATCCTCAAGGAATGTTATATCTGTACCTTAACCTTACTAAAAAACCAGTTTTTTAAAGTTCTCCCGCGAAAACGTTGCTAGAGCTCTTGGACTATAAATTGTATAACTAATACATAGATTAATAAAATTTCGAGTACAGTTAAATCAAAGTGTTTAAAACAAAAAAATTAAAAGAATAAATTTACAAAACTTAATTGTTCCAAACTCTCGTTTGAAAAATAAATACTCTAAAAATTTTACCCTCTGAAAAAATATATAGATACATAAAACGTTTTTTCGTTTGCATATGAAAAGCTTCAACGGTTCTTCTAATAACAAAATGCGAGCTGTTTTTTCGAATATACTCGTATTTGAAATTTGCATAAAGGGCACAACAATGGACGTATTGTTAGGGATAAACGGGCAAAATTGATCCTTGAAGACATATAAATCCGCTAAAAAATCATTTAAAAAAGCAATGAACAGTTTATGTAAATTTTCAAAAATAAAATTGTTAATGAATTATCACCATACTCAGCTTATTCAACGTTTTCCAATTATGATGTAGTCTCCCTGATATATTTAGGTCATCTCTTTGTAGTTGGCTCATTGTGGTCTATTGTTGACTATGCGGGTCCACCTTATCCCTGCTAAGTAATTTTAGCTTTTATTATTAGCCCGTAATTAAGTATTTTAGGTCTCTTAATTCCTCCAAATTCAGAGCATGCCACCGATTGAAGCATTAATACTATCTGACTCACTTAGTTCCCTCAACGGTATTGCTTTTTTAAACTCCAAAAACTCTCTAACCTGCAGCATTCGAGATCTAGTATATAAACTTACTGAAAGAAACTACAATGTTAACTTTATGTGGTTTCCTGGACATTCTGACATTGCTGCAGTTTTTTAATGTCCATTTTAAGTGTCCAGGTTTCACATGCATAGGTCATGACTGGTAGTACACATTGGTCGAATGTTTTTCTTCTTTAGGTAAAGTGGCATTCTAGATATGAATGTGATTTTTGATTTGAGTTTTTTCCATAAGTACTCCATGCTAACGTAATGTTACAGTTGAGGGTTGGAACCTTTGGTGTTACGCAACGAAATAAAAACACTAAATCACCACAAATGTCAGTGTGAAAGTAAAAGTGTTTTGGTGTATTGTGGTGATTTAGTGTTTTTATTTTGCTGTGTAACACCAAAGGTTCCAACCCTCAACTGTAATCTTCGATGGCTTCACGGTCAACGGAACTGAATCTTTATCGTAAGTTTAGTACTAAGATTAGGTTATTAGGAGCAGATATTTGGTTTCTTAAATCATGCAAAGCCAATTCTGTTTATCCTAGTTTTATTGAAGTTGATATTCCGAAAAGTAACGTTAGTGATAAGGTAGAGAAAATAGCAAAACAAAAATGGCTTGATTTAGAAATCAAATTTCTGTATAGTAAACGAAGTATGCTTGAAATTGAAGCCTATGGACTTTACAAAAAACTTACTTATAAGCTAACTAATGTAGAGTATGGTGTCTTTTTCAGAGAAATATGTTTGTGGTTATCAATTCAAAATTTGTTAAGAAAATGTCCATTTTGAATAATAAGTTTAAAAATTAAAAAGCTCTAAAAACAAACATGTTTTCCAAAGAGACATAAACATAGTAGAGAATCTTTTTTCGCAGACTTTTGATAAACAAGAGCTCAGTTTATTAAACAAAGGTTTAAAGTTTGCATTGTCCAACTCTGGTAGCGCTTTGGATGAAATCGTCGTTGGTGTTGAAACTGCTATTCAGCACTTGCCCGAGGCTTCTAAAGTATTTACAAGAGAGGCTTGTAGAAATCAGTTATCAAAAAATATCGTTTCAAGTAAATTATTAAAATCTAACAAGGAGCACAATATTGTCAAGAGTTTGCGCAAAAAAGATTGTTTCTACCTAAAAGCAGATAAGGGAAATAAGGTTGTTATATTAGATAAAAAAGACTATTACGATAAGGTTAACAACTTAATCGATAATGGCCCCTACATAAATTTCAAAAAGAATCCTTTGTCTAAGATGGTTAAACGACCACAAGCAGATATATTCCTAATGAATCACATCGTAGTGTTGAACATAAAATGGCTAGTTTAAATTTCTTAGTTCATAGATTACTTAGTTTCCCACTTTCCAAAGAAAGATATGAAATAGAAAGAGATTACATTAGGAATGTAGCTGAGTGTAATGGATATTCTCCTTCACTAGTTGATAAATTAATTAGAAAACGTAGGTATAGGTTAATGATTTCTGAAAATTCGACTTTTCAAGTGGAGAAAGATACGTCTAAATATTTTTCGATACCGTTTGATAGAGAGTTATCCCGTGGTATAAAAGGAATTTTTAAGAATGTCAATTATAAACTTTTGTAAAGTGCTAATAATAAATTACAACAATTATTAGGTAATCCAAAGGATAAAACACCTCCATTGGAAAGGTCGGGTATTTATGAAATTTCTTGTAAAGATAAAAGATTGTAATCAGAAATATGTTGGGCAAACTAGAAGATCAATATTAACTAGATTTAAAGAACATTTAACTCAGATAAGATATGGTAGACCGGATAAATCTTGCGTTGCCGAACATATTGTTGATAAAGAACATTGTATAGATCTTAATAATTTAAAATTAATTAAACAAGTCTCAAATTACAGGCAATTAGATGCATATGAAAGCATCAGAATTAATAAATGTAAAGATAGTATGAACAGAGACAAAGGTGCAATTCCTTCAAGTTCTTTGTTCCTACTACTCTAGTGGCGGAAATCTAACTGTTACGCTCAGTGGGCTCTGACTCGGTTGGCTAGATTTTGCCACGCCCACTTGGTGCCCACTGAGCGAGTATATAAACGCTCAACTTGTAGATTGTACTTTAGTTTATAATCATCTGCTGATGATGCTAAAACGCGACGGACGCGAAACGCGCGTCCAGTGTAAAAGTAAAAGTGTTTTGGTGTATTGTGGTGATTTAGTGTTTTTATTTTTTTGCAACGTAATGTCTAATATTTCCAGTGTTCTGTTATTTATTAGAATGTCTTTTCTTTCTACTAGTTCGTTGTACATTACTTTAGTTTTTGCTAAATTTATTTTGAGACCCACTTTATTAATGGCTGTATTTAGTTCGTTAATGTGTGTTTTTATTCCTCAGGCAATTCAGGACTATGTCATCGGCGAATCTAAGATGCTCAAAATATTCTGTGTTAACGAATATACCATTTAATATACCGTATAATCGAAAAAATACCAATCGATGTCATACTCCATGTAATTCAGTATAGAGCATTACAGCGATTTTTATTTTTTTTCGATTGTATGGTACAATACTCCAACCTTTTTTACTATAATAATACCTAATTATTAATCGCAAATTTTTAATTAACTCTATTTAATTTTTTATTTTTCATAGTTATAATAATT